TTTACACGAACGCATTGTGAAGTGAGATTCTTTCCATAATAATTTCCTGACTGTGCTCTGCCAGATAAATACACGATGTGCACTAATCTAAGCTTTATTTCTATGGCTACAAATATTCCTTAAATTCTGACTTCATCTATCATCACGGTTAACAAAATCATTCCGCCGTCTTTATCCTCATTCCATATCTGTGTTATTAATGCAAATAATTTGCTATATTTAATCTCAATGAAGTTTTGTTCTACTTGCAATTTGGCTTTATCTTGCAACGGCTGCCTGGCAACAGTACTTCAACAGACTGAGCAGTGCTGGTTGGTATGCAGCTTCGCTTAACACGTGAGTGTAGGAAATTGGTTTTTGATCCTCACCATAGTCGTCTGGATTCTCTGCCTCGTAACTGGCTTCTCTCTCCAACTCAGCAAATCTGCTCTATTTAGCTATGGACGGAACACATGACGTGCACATGCGCAGCGGAGGGATACATGCTACCTAGCGACTCCGATTTACTGTTACTCCTTCCATTATCAAATATTCTACACGTAAAAGTAAGTAAAGGTATCCCTATAACAGGCCTTGGAGGCCAATAGGGTTGTGAGATGTTGAGGTTCCCACATTTTAGAGACAACCAGCTCACAGATGGCGGTAAGTTTGCCAGCCCTACGCGCCGGCCGCCCTTTACCCCCCAAAATATTCCTGGTAATCATTTCTGTTAGAGGCTGAATCGAACTCAGGGCCATAGTGCGTCTGGAAGGATTAGGCCAATTGAAAAATATCCAATGACTTCGTCGGGACTTGAACCCGCGACCTTCCGGCTTGTAGCATAGTGTCTCCACATTCTACACGTAATCAAATTAGAATAGTTATTCACTACAGTCTACAAAGAATTAGTCTGCCTACTTTAGTCACTACCTGCTTCCATGCAGTATCAAACTAATGTAAGTGAATTACTTAATATTATGAATTACATCGAAAAATTAAAAACTGGGCCTTGGCCGTTTTTCAGTTTCTTAATTCTATGCACTGTTAGTAGGACACCTTAGAAGGGAGATCAGCTCGTCGCCCTATACACAGGGCAACATAACACAGAATAAATGCACACAGACATCCATGCCTCAAGTAAGATTCGAACCTAGAACCCCAGTGTACGAGCGGGCGGAAACAGTTCAGGCCTCAGAACGTTAGGTCACCGAGATCGACTAAGAGGCCAGTGACGGGTATATAAGTGCATTTTCACGCATCATTTCGCTCTTGAGATGCATTTGCAGGAATCTGATGAAGAGGGTACTTACTTACTTACTTACTTACTTACTTACTTACTTATGGAGCTGAGCCCTTCTTGAGGTCAAGCCAGATCTGCAGCTACTCAAGAATTTCCCAGCAGGAACACGAAGGTTCATTAGAACCCGTGTTCACAAGAGCTCTCCACTGGTCCCTATTCTGAGCCAGATCAATCCAATCCATACCATCCCGTCCTGTCTCTCTAAGATACATTTTAATATTGTCCACCCACCTACGCATTGGTCTTCCCAGTGGTCTGTTTGTTTCTGGCTTTCCCACCAATATCCTATATGCATCCCTTTTCTCCCCCATTCGTGCTACATGCCATGCCCACCTCATACTGCTTGACTTGATCATTCTAATTATACTTTGAGAACAGTGCAACTTATGAAGCTCCTCATTATGCAGAGGGTAGATAAATGGAATTGCAGTACATTATAAATTGATTTCTTTAGTAGAAAACGTATAATGTAACGATAATGATTAGAAATTTCATAATTGAAAAGATAATCGGACGGGTTGCACGACCTTATGGCAGGACTTTCATGGTTTTCCTCAATCACTATAGGTGAATGTAAGAATAGAGTTATTTTAAGTAAACCTCTACCTCCTAATCTACTAGTCATCCGTGATCATGTTCCCACTTAGTTCTATGCTACGCACTAACTTCAGCTAAAACAGCATCTTTAAGTAACCTCAGGGTCGATTAGAGATTTAACAGAAATGACAAATTATTCTGTCTACTGCTTGAAGTGTAGTTCGAGGCTCCTTCCTTTCCCTTCTACCCGCGCCGCGTCACGTCACACGCGAACCTCTGCCTGCGAGATGCATACATAGAACCGTTTCTCCAGATTCAACGTAGACGTTTTGCTTGTAAGTTTTTGTCTGAAATGTTGACAAGAGAAATTTGCTTTGAAGTTTGCTGTAGCTGTATCACTTACTTTGATGTTCACTAAATATAGGTCTAGCGACGCATTAATAGAGCTTCGAACTTGAGGTAAACTCAAAGCAGAATTTTGCGATATAGAGGAACCTCCTGGAACTGGTTGGAGCTCCTCATGTGATAGAAACGCACGGAGTTTGCCTATAAAGAGAAGCCTGGAGCGCTTTATTATTTGTGAATCAAGTTTAAATCACGGTGTACTCTGTGGCCATCAATGTTGTTTGCTGTAAATTGTGCGGTTTGGCCACTAGGTCAACTTAACTCGTTCGCATTTAGTCTGGGGCCACACGAGCGCACAAAATGCGTCCGTTGTAGAAATAAACAAGAGAGGTGAATGCTATGCTTTCTTCTGGCTCCAGTGCAGACAAAAAACTACGCTCCGAATTCTGCAACTGTGTGGTGTCCTCAGCAACGTCCGTCATAAAGTACGTTCGTTACAACGGACGCATTTTGTGCGCTCGTGTGGCCCCAGCCGTACTCGATCGCTTTCAGAATTCACATATACAAAATCTGGGGCTCAGTACATTATATGTTTCTTTTTAATATTATAAGAAATGGAAAGGAAAAAGACATAAAAATGACATCCAGAAAATAAAATAAAAAAGTAAAGAAATGAAAGAGGAGAAAATTGAAGGGGATTAAGGAAAGCGATAAAGAAGAGAGATGAGGGCGAAAGAAACGAAGAAAGAAACTGAAAAAAGAAAGTATGTGATAAGGAAAGAAAATTAAATTATAATACTTTAATGACCATAGGTTTATTTTTAACAGCATCATTGAAGAACAAAAAAAAAACTCCATGGCCTGTAGTCCGCAAGCGAACTATACCGACCGAGCGACCACCGCTTGTCAGAGAAGTTAGTGCCAACTTTAGAGGATAGAGGGTGTCATGTTGTCAGTGCAACGGATTCCCACGGCCGTTAATCTCGGTTATTAAAAGGCCGATATAAACTGAGTGCGAGAATGAGTAATTTAATGTGACAGATCGCAACTACTCTTCAGATAAACTACGTAGATCTACAGTTCGTGCATATCTGCCTAAGTGACAAGCGTATGAAAGCTGCAGATATTTAATTACGAAAGGAATCAATCATAGAATTATTTATCACTGAATAGGGAAATTACTGTGTTATTGATAATTCCTTCGGAAACACAGGAAAATCATATAACCACAGGCGTTTATGTACGGTATTTAAACATCTAAAAATGCATACGAATTGGACGGTATGGGAAATTTCTTACAGAACTACAAGTCATTCAAGTGAACAAGAAAAACTGCCTATTTTCATGAAATCCTAAATAGAGTCATTATATTCAAAAGAGATTGACACGGAACCCTTTCAGTTCAGTTCGCCCGTTCACGCGCTGTTCAAGATCAGAACCAGCGCCATCCTTCCTTATGCCTATATTGCACTCCTTCCTCAAGTTCTTCAGCCATGAGTTTAAACAGCTTTCTTATCTCAACCCACAATGCGATAGGTCCCATTCTTAATTGAATCATCCTAACGGCATTATACCATGAGCAGACATTATGTGCCCCTAACTGCTGCTCACTGTGGTCTACATACCTACCAATCCAGTTAAAGTGGTCTAGTACGTATGTTCCGAAAAGTAAGTGGTCATATCTGAGTTAAGAATGTCTAGAAATTAATGAATTAAATTCTCTTACATGGGGCACGCGGTAGTGCAGTTGGTTCAGACACTATGCTTAAAGGTCACGTGTTCGAGTCCCGATGAGGTGGGTTTTTCAATTGATCTAATCCTTCAGGCCTCACTATGGCCCTGGGGTAGACTCAGCCTCTAACAGAAATGAGTACCAGGAGTCTTCCTGGGGGTAAAGGGAGACCGGTGCTTAAGGCTGACAAATCTCACCGCCATCTATGAGCCGATTGTCTAGACAAAATGTGGGAACCTCGACGTCTCACAACCCTGTCGGCCTTCACGGCCTGTTACATTGATAACTTTACTTCTACCATTCTTTTACATGTTGAAGAATGAATTATCTCCGGTCAACAAAGTTTCAACAGATTTTGCCATCAGCCATGAATGTTGAAAGGCACAGTCCTCCTTTATGCATTTCATTCTGTTTCTTCGTTTCCAGTTTGAGAACAAGCACCGAGGAAAATGCCTTGAGGCAAGAAAAAAGGAAAACCGTTGAATAGGGAATATTACATAGCGATAAGCTTCACAATGGGCACTCTTCAACAGCTGTTAAAAATGAAAAGTAAAGATATCCCTGTAACAGGCCGTGGAGACCCTTAGGGTAAGACGTGGAGGCTCTCACATTTTCTTGGAAATCGGCTCACAGATGGCGGTGAGGTTGTCTGCCTCACTCGCCGGCAGGCCACCCTTTACCCCTAGGAAGATTCCTGGTACTCATTTCTGTTAGAGGCCCCAAGGTCATAGTGCGACTGGAAGAATTAGGTCAATTGAAAAATCCAGTGACCTCATCGGGAATGTAACCCGCGACCTTACGGCTTGTAACATAGTGCCTCAATCAAAATTACGCTACCCCGTGCACCCTTCACCAGATATTATTGGGGTGAATTTATTGAGGAAAGTGAGATGGGTTGGATAATTAGAATGGTTAACTCGAGAAATGCGTACACGCTTGTTGCTAAAAGCACGAACTTGGGAAAACCTAGGCAAATTATTGAATTTGTCTTAGACAAGTCGTGTGTGTGGAGAAGAGTACAGAATTCAGTTTTCTAAGAAAAGTTTTTATAGCAGTTTTCTACAGAGAAATTTAGCTGTATATTTAAGAACAAGAAAAGTAGCTTACCTTTTCGATGGGGATGCTGATTCGTTTGCAGGGGCTGTTCCACTAACCAGCAATGTTTTCGTAACGGAGTTCCTACAATGATTTAAAGACAAAAGTTTATGCCCTTGTCGCTGCTCGTTGTAGACTGTATGATCGCCCAACCGGACAAAGCGCAGTACACTCAGCACACTCGTGGTGAGATTAGAACTGTAACTATGACGTAATGTTTACTTCCTATGTACACTCACTTCAACGGCCAGTGCAACATGGCTTCCCTTTCGAATTATGGTGCCACAAAGTAGAGTACTGAGGGATCAACAAGGCGCTTTATTTATAATTATATTAATTTTTTTGAAGTGGAGACAAAATACTGTCTTAACATTCTTATAAGGAAAGCGATTTTAAACGTAAACGCTCAGATTCTAAAGTAATTAATCTCTGTGTTTCACTTGTCATATGGACTGTACCCGTGTCCTTAGTTGCTTTCTTCAAACACACGATAGTCCCGCCATCATTCCAGGCCTACTGAAAGAGTTTTCTGGTTAAGCATTCGCTATTCAAACCTGTTGGTGCCTGCAGACACAGCCATTTACCCTTTACATCAAACAAAACTGGCGGGTGTATGTTCATTATAACCACAGAATAATTAAATTTGATTTTACCGGCGAAATGATCAAGATAACTTCCTCTTCATGGTGTTCTGCATTTGTCAGAACAAAGATCCTTTTAAATCTCAGTCAGCAGAAGCGTTTCGTCTTGTCAGCCATCTTCAGCGTTATGTTCGTATATCCAGAAAGTGAAGTTCTTTATTTAAAAAGACAGAGAGTCAACAAATCAATGAAGCCGGATCAAAGCTTAGGAACATTTAAAAAATATGACAGTATGTTGTATTTTAGCGTCCTGTTGCACTGATTCATATTCATAATGTGTATGTATTAACAGTCTTCAAAGCATACTGCCGAAACGTGTAGTGCAGAAGTGTAAATGGGATTGTATGCACTTGAAGACTGTTAACACATATACACTATGAATATGACAGTATTCAGACCTAAGCTGCATGCATTATTTTAGAGAAGAAAATAAATTAAAATATACTACTTTAAATTATTTTCATGAATAAATTAAAGGGAGATTAAATTCGAGAAATTCCTAGTACAATTAAATTAAAAAATTTTGTTTCCGTATTTTGTGTCGAGAATCACAAATAACAAAACGTATAGAACTAGAACTACAGGCCTGCCAATTATTTTGCAGAGGCATGAAACTATGACAGTAAGCTTAAGGGAAAACATATGATGATGTTAACTGTGAAAGGTGTAGGGTGGAGGTTAGCAAGGAGGAAGAAATTCTGGTTAACAGCACACAACGAGGAGCTTCATATTTCGGGATCTTCAACAAATACACGTATCATTAAGATCTTCAACTCAATGGGGGGGGGGGACTGGCGGACCTGGGAGTGTGCATGGGAGAGGCAAGAAATCATTTAAAATTTTAGACGGAAACTCTCATGGGACGATATATTTTGGGAGCTTTACTGTAGGATAATATTAATACGGATCTGACACTCGGTGTGAGGATGTGACATTTGGTCCTCGACTTGGGATAGTGGTGGACTTTTTTCAACATTGCAATGAATATTCAGGTTTTACAGAAGTCAGGGAATTACCCGAGAAAATGAGAATTTATTAGCTTGTAACTTTCCTATATGGAGTTAGTTTAGTTATTAAATTAAAACTGGATTACGGAAGGGAGAGAATTTTATGACGCCTTTTGTATCATAACTGAAGGAGAAGCAGGAATTGCTACTAGAATATTCATTCGTCCAAATAAATTCCTCTAGCATAACGACAGTAAATTTCGACGTATCAAACAAAATACTGATCAGATGTTTTGCGTTCTTCAGACGCTGGAGAAGAAATGGGAGTACAGTGAGACAGTACATCAGCTATTTGTAAATTTCAAGAAAGCCTGCGATTAAGTTAGGAGGAAAATACTACATAATATTCATACAGAGTTTGGGGCACCCATGAAATTACTCAGGCTGATTAAAATGTGTTTAAACGAAATATTGTAAAGTCCGAACAGGTAAATATTTGTCTGATAATTTTCCTATCCTAAGTCGTCTAAAACAAGTATAAGCTTAATCGCCACTACTTTTCATATTTGCTTTAGAACATGCCATTAGGAAGGTCCAGAAAAACCAGGTGGGACTGAAATTAAATGGGACATATCAGCTGTTGGTCTACGCCGATGATGTGAATCTACTGGGTGATAATGTAGATACCATAAAGAAAAAACACACAAACTTTAAATGACGCTAGTAAGGCGGTTGGTACAGAAGGAATCACGGAGAAAATTAAGTATATGTTGCTGTGTCGTCACAAGAATCCAGGGCAAAATCATTAAACAAAGAGATGAAACAGATGTTTTGAAAATGTGGCGCAGTTCAATTATTTGGGAACGACTATAACAAACCAAAACCTGATTCAGAAGGAAATTGAGAGGAGACGGAATTCGGTTAATGCTTGCTACCATTCAGTCCAGAACCTGTTGTCTTCTCGTCTGCTGTCCAAAAATATAAAAGCTAAAACATACAAAACTATAATTTTGCCTGTCTCTGACATTAAGGGAGGAACACAGACTGAGGGTGTTTGAGAACAGGGTGCTGAGAATATTTGGACCAAAGAGAGATGAAGTGACAGGAGGTTGGAGAAAATTGCATAATGAAGAGCTTCATAACTTGTACTCTTCTCCAAGTATAATTAGAATGATAAAGTCAAAGAGGATGAGGTGGGCAGTGCATGTAGCACGAATATGGGAGAGGATAAATGCATATAGGATATTGGTGGGTAAGCCAGAAGGAAAGAGACAACTGAGAAGACCAAGGATTAGGTGGGTGGACATTAGAAAAATGGATCTTAGATAGATAGTATAAGATGGTATGGACTGGATTGATCTGGCTCAGGCTAGGAACAAGTGGAGGGCTCTTGTGAACACGGTATTGAACCTTCGGGTTCCATAAAATTTTGGGGAAGTTCTTGACAAACTACAGAATTGGCGGCTTCTCAAGAAGAGCTCATCTCCACGAAGATAGTTAGTTTGTTGGTTAGTTTAGCCTGAAGACAAATTTGTCTTCTAATAGCGATGAAAATAAGAACGTATTACTTTCTTTCTTTGCCCTACGTAAGTAGGAACATTTTATATAAACACATTTTTTTTTCTCTTGGATGAACGAAGGCTGTGTTGGCTGAACGTAGATTTCAACGTTGCAGTAAACGTTACGTAATACAGGTAGATACAGCTCTGTTCATTATTCATCGGTTATGGGTTTATTAAAGTAGCAGAGTTCGTGGACACGAGATTTATACTGCAATATACGGACCTGCACTCCCCACGTATAACTTACAGGCAGTTCGTGTCCCAGTCATTTATTGCGATGTTATTTTCTCACTAGACTGTATAATGAATTTAACTGTGTTTACACAATAAGCTATATAGCAACACGTAACTAAACTTCTAGTACCACAGATACATCGTATTCCAAATTACCTTTATATTAGAATTTGTATGCCGCAGAATCATGATCATGGACGCAAATTCATAAAAAAAAAATGAAAATAATAGGAATTGAAACTAATGGAACCTTGCACCTTGCACGAAACGATCCAGTGCTCGTACACTGGACAGCGCTTAATAAATTTCACGAAATGTTTCTCAATTAGCTACCCACGTACCACAAGCGGACCGCAAAATATAACAGCGTTTAGCAGGATGTACGTATAACAGTATTTCTCAACACAGTATATGGCGGTGGAAAATCGCGTTAGAATTTTACAGAAAATAATTTCTTTCTCCCTCCTCCTCCTCCTCTTTCACTTTTTCTATTACTATTATTTACTCCGACTCCCTTCTTTCGTGGAGCCGGTATATCGATTGGCTACGGGCTGGACAACCAAGGGGTCGGAGTTCGAGTCCCGGTAGGGTCAAGAATTTTCTCTTCTCCACATCATCCAGACCGGCTCTGGGGTTCACCCAGCCTGCTATACAGTGGGTACCGGGGGCTCTTTCCCCAGGAGTAAAGCGGCAAAGATGTGAAACTTACAACTCACATCCAGCTAGTGCCGAGGTCAAGAAAATATGGATCTATATATCGACTCCTCTATACGCCTTCATGGAGTAGTGCTTAATTAGTTAAACACAGGGACAACTTAACCTTTCACCACTAAGGGATTCACGTTCATGCCACTCCTAGAGCAAATTAATTAAAATAGCTTATTTGCGTTAAATGGAAATGATTTTTCGGTCAAGTAATTCCGTAATGAACAAGTTAAAATAATTCTACAACAGAAGTGTTTTTTTTACTTGTGGGATTCAGTAAAATATTCATATATTAAATCTGGACCACTTCACACACCGTTAATAATGTTTTCCCGTGATTAACACTACTTGGCATTCTCAGCATTCACGTCCAGAATATCTAAGAGCGAAATCATAACATAAACAAAATAAAAACACATCAGTACCGACGTTTATTTCTTTAAACGAAAAAAAAAAGTAAAGCTGTCCCTGTAACAGATCGTGGAGGCCCATAAGGTTGTGAGACGTCCAGGCTCCCACATTTTGTAGACAGCCGGCTCACAGATGGCGGTGACCTTGACAGCTTTACGCCCCGGTAGCCCTTTACCCCCAAGAAGACGCCTCGTACCCATTTCTGTTAGAGGCTGAGTAAACCCCAGGGCCATAGTGCAGCTGGAAGGATTAAGACATCTGAAATAACCAACGACCTCATCGGGAGTGGAATCCGCGGCCTGCCAGCTTGTAGCATAGTGCCTCAACCAACTACGCTACCTCGTGTCCGCGTAACCAATATGTCTGCAGTTTATTTACGAAAACGTGTGAGGAACTGCACGGTAATTAGCACAACATTTTGTCTGTAGATGATGACAATAACATTCGCAGCATTAGTAGCAGTAACACTGGCAATCTGAAGGCAAGGACTCAGAAGATCATGTATTTCGAAGTTCAAACACTAAACGTTGTAGAATATTCTGCCAATTCTTTGAAGAGCAATAGTAGTTTAAAAAAGTACTGGATTTACGATTCAAGTTATTAAGTATTTTAGGGGTTATTTATTTTAATAACTGCTCTTTTACTTGTAGAATATTATCTATTACCTGGT